ATGAATAAATGTGCTTATTTTACTTCCCTTCTACAAAAGAATTTTTTTAAGTTAGCAAATATGCGTATCTGACATGGTAATTTTTCACTGTTTTGAAGATTCAATTTCTGGAGGCTAACTTGACATGAAGCATGGCAAAACTTTTATATTCCTACATTGAAAGTTACTTATGTGGTAGGATAAACAGTGTTCACAGATATCTGTGTTACCAGGGTGGCCCATTTAAATTTGATCTCGCTCGAAGATATATTAGATTAATAAGGCTGATTTTATGACCAATATAATTTATATTCACGAATACCTATTTTTATTAGCACAAGTAGAGATTGTGAAGCAAATTTCCATATATGTTAAATACTAAGAGCAAGAATAACTAACATTCATATAGTGTGTTACACTTTATAAGCATACATTACCCATAAACTGTTCTTTAGAAGAATATTTATTGCACTTTCTTACTCAAGAAGGCACTCTGTTTTTACACTATAAACATCTTATGAAAATAGATTCTTTTATTAGTTTCCTTCCTCTCTTCCTCTCTCTCTCCTTCTCTCCCTTCCTTCCTTTCTTCTTTTTTCCTCTCTTAATGGGAAAACAGCCAGTGATGTGTGTGTGTGTGTGTGTGTGTGTGTGTGTGTGTGTGTAACGTGTAATTGCCTATCACACATTTCTATTAGAAAAGGAGCTGTAACAAGCAATCCAGCATGATTTTGGGGATATATATCCTGCCTACCAGTGCTCTTGAGGAAAATGTAAGGTTGCAGAAATCATTTCATGCCCTGTATGTTTCCAAACATAAATCAGGAAAATTGTTAGCAAGTTATAGCTCTTCTTAGAGACGGTGACTATAGTGCTATAGTAAACACAGGCTATATATTTTTCCAAGTTATTATGTGTGGAAAGAAATCCAAAGTTGGCTCTTTAGAGGAACCGTTTAATTCAGTTATCAGAAATTCATTTTCTATTTAGTATGAACATTTATTTCCAAGGGTTGCAGAAATGGGACATAATAGCTGATGATCCTTTAGATCCATCACCTTCAGAGTTAGAAACTTGCTCGTTTTAGCTAATGTGTGAACTACTGAACATCCGTCTTCAGTTAAGAACCAGTCAGAACGGTCCGAGGTAGAGTTGATAGTCTGATCTTTTACCCTCTTCAGCACAGAGCAGCAAAGCTTTGCCTCTGTCTCTTCATTTCTAAAAGGGAGGGGTTTGAGTTGGTGGTCTCCAACGCACTTCGCCCTTGAATTAAATAATTGATTAATAATGAATGGACCAGTGAATTACATTCCTGTTTATTTCTATTCTGTAAACAAATTGCTGACTAAAGTATGACCTTATGCCATGGCCAGAAATACTAGTGTGTGGAGTAGTAATTGAGCTCAGGTTTAGTGCCTTGAAACAAAAGCTTTATGAAATTTTGACACTCAAATTTCATTAAAATATTTCATTTGCAGGTCAATGATTAGATATTCAAAAAACACTTTTTCTACAGAAGATAATCTTAAAATGCTGATTACTAGGTTAAGCCATAAAAATCTATGTTACTTTTGTTAGAGTGAAATATTATATATCAGTGATGAAAAAATGTGAAAAGCAGTTCTGCTATGATACAAGCGATAAACATAACAAAAAGGAATAGAATTGAATGTCAGTTTATCACTTATCTAGAAACCAGAGGGTTGAGGTTTAAGAGAATGCGCATATAGCTGCAAGTTAAAAAGATGGATTACAACCATTGCAGAGTCTCTGAGGGGGATTTTAATAAACTTTTGGGATTTTTAGCAGTTGGTTACAAAATTGTTGGCTTCCTCCCCCGCCTTCCCTCCTCACTCCCACTCCCCCGGAATAGTGTAACATTAGCACTCTTTCTAAGATTGTTACCTGTGATGATATTTGTTTTTTGACACCCAAATGCCTTGAAGAGCAGGAAAGCAAGGGAGAATGGAGAGGAAAATTATTCTCTGAAGTAATTGTCTAAGATGTGAGAGAAGAAAAGGTAGAAGGTGGTTGAAGGTAGAGGACAGAGGCATATCTCTCTGTGTGTGTAAGATGGTCTGGTCTGCATTTAACTGATCTGTGGGAGGAGAAACCGTAAGGAAAAAGAGGGCAGTGAATGGCTGCACATTCCACTGTATTAGTGACGTGGAAAAGCTTTGGGGATTGGAGTTAGAGCATCCATTTTGAAATTTGTGCTGGGCCACTTATTGCCTGTGTGATCTTGTAAAGTTATTAAATTCTCTGAATTGGTCTTATCTGTAAAAAGTTGAATAATAAAAGCATCTGCTTCCAAGATGGTTGTGGGAGTGGAGTGAGACCTATGGGTATAAAAGTGCGTGGAAACTATTTTTATAGGGGTGGGCAAAGGTAGGTTTACAGTTGTTCATATGGAAAGACATAATACAATAATTAATAAATAATAACTCAAAAATAAACTCTGTTTCACAACTGTAAACCTACTTGTAGTTGAAGGTGGTAAGGAAAGTCATTGGGTCAACCAGTTCTCCATGCTGACCAAGTCTTAGGTCATTTTTTTCATTCCAGAGTGGTCTTTGATAGGCCTGTGGACTGTGCACTGTGGCCCAAGAACTGTGCTAGATACTTTACATATTACTTTATTTAGGGAGGAAGCAGGAAATAGTATGCAGCTGGCCACTTAAATGCAGCAAGCCTGATAATTCTACCCTGAGTGATGCCAATATGTGAGGAGCATGTTCAGTTTCCTTTACAGATGGCCACAGCTTGTCTAAATAAACATGTGAATGACTGAAAACAAAAACAATATATTGAATAATTGTTTTCTTTGTCTCAAACATGACCTGTCCCTTGCACTTCTGCATTGGCGTTGATATTCATCTAAATTTCCTGGGTTTTTGTTAAGGCTGAAGGAATCATTATTTGGCAGTAAATCCTCATATTTAATAATATACATTCCATTTAAACAAAGATTTCCTGGATATATCAGCACTAAGTAATGTAATATATGAGCTGAACTCCAAGTTCTAGATTCTAGACTGATCTCTTTCTAGAATATTTTCTTGTTTTTAATGTCTGATTCACTGATAAATATCTAGCCAACTCTTCCATTGGAAATGGATTACATTTCAAAGCATAAAATGAAGCAGTAGGACAACAATTATTCAAGACATTTGGGCTGTGTGTACAGACAATATATCTTCAAAAGGCAAATCCAAAAATCTGCTTGGATCCTCCCTCAGAGTGGCCATGTGTTAAGTATTTGAATGAGATGAGACAAGGCAATTGAAAGCATTTAGTGCTTCATGAAAGAGACTACACACAAGTTCCGGGAGGCAAGGAGGAATGACTTCACATGTGGCCACACGCTTGAGAGGAGTGGCCGTGTCTCACATGACTTTGTGCCCCCTCCCCTGTGTCTGGCACTGTGCCCGATTCCTAGAGGAGGCTCAGTAATGTTTTTTAAATGCATGGGTGCCAGGCACTGTGGCCAGCCCTGACCTATGTGAGTCTGTGATTCCTTAAATCTTCACAGCAATCTTGTATGGTAGCTGCAATGTCACCGTCTCATAGATGAGGAAACAGAAGTTTGGAGCTTTGAAGCAACTCCCAACCTCACACAGGTAGAAAGTAGTGGGGCCAGGATAGGAAGCTAAACCCATTTGGCACCAGAGCCCAGTCTTCTCATCACGTTCTGTGAGCTCTTGGATGTCAGGGGTTATGGTTACTTCTGAACAATAGGCCCCAAGGTGAGCCAAGGCCTTCCTGGGATAATTCCCCGGCTGCGCAGGCAGCTCCTGGGCTGGCGTTCAGAGAAGTGGAAGCACACGGCCCTGTGCTGCCTGCCACGTTGAACGTGGCCTTTTGTTAAACTGTCAGTTCTGATTTCTGCCCTTTGAGGTGAAATGCACCATCGTGAGAAAATACCATATAATAGACTATCACCTAGACTTGTCGTTGGGATGGGAGGAAGAGGAAGGGCAGGGAGGAACACAGAGAATAAAGTCACTACGCCATGACAGGGATCGAGTTTGCTATGGCAACCAATCGCCCCCACCCCCTCTGTATCTTACGATCTCTTAACTTTCCCTTTTAGAATTGGCAAGGTCTAGAATTTTCCTTCTCCCCCATATTAAGGGTGGTAAAGAGAGTGATTCCACTACTGAACATCCTATACCATGTCCTGTATTGTATGGCTGCTCCTAGTATCGCCATAGTCTTGGGATCCTAGTAGGTTCTACTAGTGAAGTTCATAAAGAATAATAAGAAAATGGCCCCCAACCAACCAAACAGTCATGTTCAAAGTCCAGCCTCTAAATTTGGAAGCAGCATACAGGTACCACCCAACTGGTGTGACTTCCTGGTTAAGCGCTGACCTATGAACCAGGAAGTCAGGGTCTATTTGCTCTCAGGGCACATGCCTGGGTTGGGGGCTGGATCCCCAGTGTGGTGCGTGCAGGAAGCAGCTGATCAATGATTCTCCCTCATCATTGATGTTTCTCTCTCTTTCTCTCTCCCTCTCCCTTCCTCAATAAAAATATATTAAAAAAAAAATTAGGTACCACGTTACCCATCCCTAAATTACTTTTTCCTCGATGTATTTGTGAGGAATGTCAGGGAGTCATAAATATTCAACACAGGATTAGTAACATGTGGATTTAAGGGTTTATAGACGAAAGAGAGAGAAATATGTTTTAGAAATGGGGACTCAGTTCTCAAATCCCATGAAGATAGAGCCCGTGGGAGGTCAGGACGGCAGAGGTCAGGGCTGCATGTGAGAGAAGTCCAGGGAATAAGCACAGCGTCATCAGAGGCCTGTGGGTGGGTAGCTGTGTTTGGTTTCCCAGGGAGCGCGCTGGAGGTGAGACCTGGTGGGGACACATCCCCCCTTCCCCCGCCCGGTGGTGGAGGCTGCCCGGGTGAATTGTGTGAAGTTGTCAAAGGTTGCTCTGCTCTCCAGCACTTGGCACCGGCCCCGCTGAAATGTGATGCCATTGGTTTTCAGTAAAGGTTCCTTTCTGCAGGGCTGCAAACACGGATCAGCTGCTCCCGTGTACACACAACCCGGGAGCAGACCAACCGGCACATTCCCAGCAGCCTCCTGCACCCCGAGACTGTCCAAGACCTCCTCTGCACGCAGGAACTTTCCTTCTCGGTTGTCAGATGTAGCACCATGCTCCTGTCATCAGATCCCAGCTAGGCTCCTGGCTGCACGGGAGAGAGGCTTCCTTAAGACATTTGTCCTTGAAACTGCACCAAACTCTTGGAAGAACCCAGAACGTGTGAGTATGTGCGATTTAGGCAATAGTGCAGGGCTGAGCTGCAATCAACCCTTATACAATATCCGATTAGCAGAGCAGGAGGGCTTTCTCCGACGTTACGTTACATTCATTTTCAAGTCGTTCTGAGGAAACAAATCAATTGTAGCTTCTGATACAGTGACTTTGCAGTAGACGGGGTTGTGGTGTGTTAGCTTTAACTATTTGCTGTTCTTACTTGGCATTGCAATGTGACTTGGGGGACGATTACTGTGGGGGCAGTAAACTGTACAACTTCTCCCTGTTTACTAGGGATGATAAGTGTCAGTCATGTCCATCTCCAGAAACAAGTTTGCTTTGGGGGAATGTTTGTAAAGAATTAACCACAGAAATTCACGGGCAATTGAAGGAATTTGTACTGCTCTTGCTCTGAATACAACATATTAGATTGCAGTTTTAATTTACTCAGAAAGAGTACATTAAATTCCACTGAGATTTTTGTTTTAATTGATCCCTACCCAGAGCTGTCTGTTTGGTGTTTGGCTGTCTTGCATGCCTCTGTGTGAGTTCCTTGCTGGGATTGCAGTCTGGTTAAAGCTGTATGTAGGTGCTCTCTCGGTCCTCAGAACACTCAGGTGTGATAAACGCTCACAAAATGTGGGTGGGTGTGTTTTAAAGGGTGGTCTTCATACCCTTGAAGGCTTTTTAGATGCACCATGTGAACGGCTGTCAGATGTTGACCACAGACTGACTATTCCGAGACTCTCAGTCCAGTCTCAGCTTGTCTACTTTGGGAACTCCAACCCAGAAAAGCCCATGCCCCCTTTCTATCAATTTTTCATATGCGCCAATACCTACGTCCAGAAGATTAATTTCTCTCAGATTAGCCTGATTGATAGCTGGGCTGTGGTTTTCTAAGAGCTTGCTCCCTGTAACCCGGAGCAGAGCTGCATTCCATTTACCTAGTGAGTGTGAACACGGGTAACCATGGATCCAGCCACCACTAACCGCCCATGCAGCGACTCGTTGTAAACAATACAAATGAGCCCGGAGAGCAGAGGCAACCAGACATGAAATGATTTTAATAGAAATTACGGTAAAAGGTCATGTGATGTGGTAGCAGCTTCTGTTCAGTTTTAAAGGGAAAGTCTTGCTTTTCTGTGTGCCCCCCCCCCCCCCCCCCCCCAAGGATCTTGGCTCTGGATTCTTTCAGAGAAAAGGGGCACAGGGTCTCTTCTGTAGCTGCTTCCTCAAACCAAGTCGCTAGATCTGCACACTTGGCCGTTTCCACTCTCTGCTCCCATGGAGAAGGGTGGGCAACGGAAGATTCTGGGCAAAGTGTGGGGACTTGTGGATTTTCACAGTAAGTGCCTTTATTTTAGAAACAGAAAGGGAATCTGGGGACTCCAGGGTTTCCTTCCTGGAAGGTTCTGCTAACTCTGGGCTAGTGGTCCTCTTGCTTTGAAGGAAGAGGAATAGGTAATTTCGCTCCTTAGTTTTTACATATTTAACTGTCTTTTCTCACCCTTTTGAAATCTCTGAGGACTTGAATCTCAGTCTTTCTGAAAACTGTTATTCACTTTCCAAGCAACTTCTGCAATATGGTAATGCAATATGGTAATGAGCACCCAACCCTACCGTTTTCATCCACGCAGACCTTGGCTGACTTCTGCACGGACCAGGCCTTCCCACACCATGCGCCTTTCCCTGGGAGAGATGGTGTCTGTCTGCATGTGGATATGACTGTGCTCTTAAATGTGCCTTCAGTTAAGACACTTGAACAATTTGTGTTAAGTGCTCACCTTGTGGTTTGCTGGGTAGTGACACCAGCTTTGTTTAGTAAAAGGAAACGAGGGAAGAAACTCCAGCCATCAAACTGAGGAGGCAGGGGACCTTAAAAGCCGGCTTTGGAGGGTGGGCCTGATTGGTACTCAGCGTGCAGGAGCGAAGGGCTCGGAGTCATGGTCTCCGACAGCCACAGGCCCTGGGAGCAGAGGTCTGGCTGACAGTGTTGTATCTCAAGGTGAAAAAGACCTGAACGGCTCTCCTGAGCCATACCTCCTCCTGCACAGCACGTGATGCCAATGAGCGTGTCAGCGTGGAGCAAAAGGGAATGACGTGTTCATGTTTACCTCCTGTCAAACGTTCAGATACTTCTCAAAAGATGCATAATTATATATGTATAGATAACATACTGAAGAATCGGATCTCGGGTATTTATTTTTCTATCAATACTGCCACTACGATAAATTCAATCAGCACATGAAAAAAGCATGAGGGTTATAGTTGAGAAGCTCAGTAGGTGTAAGAGTATCTCCCTACCCCCTTCCCCATCTACACTTAGGACGTGTTTCTAGCAAATTCTGTTGGATTTTTTGTTTGTTTTAAATATATTTTTATTGATTTCAGAGAGGAAGGGCGAGTGAGTGAGAGGTAGAAACATCAATGATGAGAGAGAATCATTGATCGGCTACCTTTACACTGAGGATGGAGCCTGCAACTTGGGCATGTGCCCTGTCCAGGAATTGAACTGTGACCTCCTGGTTCATAGGTTGATGCTAAACCACTGAGCCACGCCGACCAGGCTCTAGCAAACTCTGTTTAGACCTATAAGTGTTAACATAGTACATATGGTAAAAGTTTTTTTTTAAATTAAGCTTTTTTAGATGTTGGCATGATGGACTGCATACTTAGACTGAAGAATGCTTCACAATGTCATGGTTAGCTAGGGCCTCCTGGTTTGTTTGCTGTTTAGAGAATATCTTCACTTATCAAAAAGAAACAGAAAAAGAAGCTCCAATAATTCATGTTGGGGCAGGCAGGGGGAGACGTACTTCAAAGCCAATGTGGAGATACAAAGTGAGGATTTGGGTAAATTATAATAAAACTTATATTGTTTTTACTTTCCCTGGCTTTGCTTCTCCAAGGTGAAGAACAGGAATGGTGTCAGCCTCAGGATGGTTAGGAGCGCATTCTTTGGAGTCAGACATGGGTTGGAGTCTTTGCTCTGGACCGCACTGTGCGTGGGATTGTGAGCAAAGTGACTTCACCTCTCTGAGCTTCCAGACCCTCATCTGAAGACTGAGGAGGCAGGGCACCCCAGTGGGCAGGTGAAAGGGTTAAATGAGATAATGCCTGGCATTTCATAAGTACTTAATAAATTGTTGCTACTTCCACTCTTAGTTTTGACTGAGGAAACAGGTAGTTAAGTAGAGTCCTGCCCTAAGTATTGGGTCATAGCGTGGTCCTGTTCTAGGGACAACTGTGCAGTGTTTTATCACATTTACTAAAAGCCAGATTAGTATCTTATGACAGTGTATTGTTTATTTTTATGTAAATTTCTTTTTTTTATAAAACAAAATATTTAGGAAAATCAATTACTTTTTTTTTGTATTTAAGATTTGTCCTACACAGGGGTGGGGAATGTCTGGCCTGCTGGCCTTCTAAGGCTTGTGAAATAATTTGGTTTGGCCCTGCCAAGGCATTAAGGGTGAGTTCATTAAATGTTTGACCAAACAGAGCAGGCTGATTTTTAAGCTGATCATTTTGTATGGCCCGAGAATGATGTTATAAATATCCAAATGGCCCTTGGCAGAAAAAAGGTTCCCCATTCCTGTCGAGGGTGTTGAGGCAACATGCACAGTTTATCCTATTGCCTAAGTGGACAGCAGGAGGACATTTAAAGGCATAAGAAATTCATAATTACATGTATCCTAAAAGCTTAAAAAGAGTGGTTACCAGTTGTTCTCAAAGATAATGGTATATACTAAAGAGCAGTACTAATTAACAGGCAAGTAACATGGAGGTTGTATGCTACCAAGGAGGCAGGTCTAGACAGGATTGTCTACACACACACACACACACACACACACACACACACACACACACACGTGTGCTGTGACCTTTGACCTCTGATTCTCTTTCCTTCTTTCCCCTCTTACTTCCCTTCTTCCTTCCGTCCCTCCCTGTCTTTCCTCTCCCCTTTTCTTTCTTCCTTTTGTCCTTCTACCTCTTAAACATTCTCTCAGCCACATAGCATTTCCTTTATCCTTTGTGAATCTAAAAAGTTCAGAGAAGAGAGAAAGCGGGACCTGAGACCCACAGTCTTTTTATGTTGCTGCGGTTTTATAAAAGGCAACTTTAAGAGGAGTCAGAAAACTCTGTTTTTCTTTCTGCTGCTATTGAACTGGAGAGGCACCTCTGAAGAGACCCGCACACCCCAGGGAAGCCCTGCTCACTAACTATTTGTTGATTCATTGATTAACCCGCAGGAAGGGAAGGGGCCTCGCCCATGGAGACTCCCTTAGTAGTGAGAGCTTTGAAACCCCAGCTACTCGGAGCAGTAGGGATGGCTTCTCGGTGACCTCCCAACAACTAATCTCCTTTAAGAACTGAATCAAAGCAGTGAAGGGGTTTTGTCAGATGGATTTTTGCCTACAGTTGGGTTTTTGGCAGTTGTGTGTGGAAGGCAACACATTCTTCACAAGGGTAGGAATCCTTTTTCCAGAAAGGAATGAAGACAAGATGCCAGCAGTTATCTCTGGAGAGGGACCCTTGTTTATCCCTGGGACCATTCAGGCGGGGACAGCTGCTGGGTGGATGACTTTCTCACACTTCCCAGCCAATCTGCCTAACCACCCTTGTCTGGTGGTCCGGCCAGTAAGCACACACATGCGGTGGGCTCTTCCTTACAGTCTCTCTCCCAAGGGCAGAGAAAAAGTCTGTGATTAGAATTGATGATATGTGAATGACAATGGTATCTGTGATTCTTTTTAATTAAATTTTTTTCCCATCCTTCTACTTTCTTCCCCTTTAGTAGCCATCAGCTAAACCGCCTCCATATCTATGGGTCTTCTCCTATTTTGTTTTGCTTATTCACTGGTTTTGCTTTTCTTAGATTCCACATATAAGTGGAATCATACTGTGTTTGTCTTTCTCTGCCTGACTTATCTCACTTAGCATCGTACCCTGTAGGTTCATCCATGTTGTTGCAAATGGCAAGATTTCATCCTTTTTATATTACA